AAACATCCTCTAGAAATCTGAAAAAATGACTACTTTCCGTTACGTTTTGAGTATTTACTGCTGTTTGGGACGTCGCATTTTACAGTATGCGTTGAACTTTCCGAGAGTCTGAAAATTAAGCAGCATAGTAAAAATGTTTTGAAATGTTTTGTAGTTCAAGGACAACTACCTGGCGAACCACATTCCCTGCTCATTCGCTGTCTTAGATTTCGCTGCTCTTTGCTCATTGCTTAATTGGTCAACTCTGTGCCTCTTTATATTGTGATATGCTCTAATCTGTTCTAATCTGATCAAGCGAAAAAATGAGGAACTAGTTATGCTTCTGCGAGAGATGTCAATACATGATAGGTGATAGCCAGTTTGTGGGTAAGCGCACCTCATGAAACGAGGGCGGGGGCTTCTCACTGGTGAGTTCTTGATGGAAGTGCTTGTCTTCAACCAAAACTAAATTATTAGGAAAGTGAGAAGCAAACAAAAGCGCAAGTTGTTACTAACTATCGAGTGTGATTTACGGTTGAAAATTACGAAGACGTCAAGGAAGCAGTGAGTGTACAGAAGCTCAATGAATAATGGTAAACAAATACCTCTTCCAGGAACCAGAGGAAAGGGTCACATTAATGCTTTTCAGTTACCGGTACTAAATTCATTTGCTGGTCCTATCTTTTGGCACCTGCTTGGAGCAACCAACCCACGGGGCACAACCGCCGTTTATTTAAACAATGCCGACCACTGGATCAAGCTGGCCTTTATTCGCGTTTTCGCTGTATCAGTGAGCAGTCGTTGCCAACAAATAAAACTGAGGGCCAGACACTGGTTCTGTTCGTTGCGTTGCGCTACCCATTATCACTTGCGTACCAGTCGTCCACACCAAATAGAGGTTTCATCAGAAAAATTAGGCCAGGATAGCAGGATGACTATTTAACCGAGAGTGACGTGAACACTACAGATCCTGTAGAACACCTACAACAAATAAATAATGTCAACCACCCCTTCAGGAGATGGTGGACGGATTAAATTAATCTAAACTCGCTCTCCAGATTTGAACGGTTCAAAGACTGTATCAGCCGGAACTGAGAGCGCTTCCATTCTCTAGTGAAAAACTCAAGAGTCCTCACGGCTTTGGCTAGGTGGTTTCCCAAGTGAAAACCCAAGGGATATTGCACAATTTTGCCCGGGACGACACTTATTTGATCGGTTAATGAAAGTCCTGGCATTTGACAGAGTTAATACATTGTATCTGCTAGTTAGATGTAGTCATTTCAAATTTGGTTGCTTTATTTGTTATTACAGCAGAAAACGTTTCATTTACAAACCCAGGAGGATCGTATCTGTTCAGCAAACTAGAAGCATGTCATGAAGCAGATGTGGGTACATTGTGAATAATGTTCTTCCAGTATTTCAAATTTAAAAGTCACAAAATCCATTTGATAATGAAAATAGATGACCTGTTATACCGTCTGTCAAACCTGAGTTCCTTTTTCGGAAAGTCTTGCTTGTATTAGTGCTTTTGGTTTCACCATTGTGAGACTGAAAGAACAGCACAGATCAAGTGCGGCATGTGACACGTTGAGGAACGTTGGCACCTTCGGTCTTCGCAAAGAGATAGTTAATAATTTTTTTCGGAACGTCGACGGTACTGAACTTCACACGCTTGTGATAACAATAATTAGCTAACTATATCTTTAACTATGTGTAGCTAAACCATTGACTAAAGTCTTAAGGCTCGTTTTCGACTGACCGCCTTTCGCTTTGTTTGTGACGGACATCCGTGCCATTAAACGGGTTGGACAACTCCATTTAGGCTTTTCCTCTGCGTGAAAAAAATGTGACATTAACAGAATTAAAGGCCTGTGAATTAAAAAAAACTCTCTGGAGGGTGTCAGATGTCGTTGATCTATTCGATAAGCGGTGCGATCGGTTTGCAGACATTTCGTCACCAAGCAAAGAAAAAATCAATAGCTGCATTGACGGACTGTACAAAAACCTGAACCTTCAACATTCTTCTCGGTGAAGAATGCTCCCTCTACCCCAGTCTAACGGTATTGAAAATAGCGCCTCGTTTTTACGGGATACGGCTTGTAAAGTTTGATGTCACTAGAAATAGGTGTAATCCCGTCTGATGGATTTTAGCTTTGATTTAGGCCTGGCGAAAAATCAAAGGAAGTTTTTTACCCATGAGTGAATCAAAATAATTGAATACACCGCTTAGATGTTTCGAGCAACTATTAGATAAAATAAAACTTACTTGCAGGTAGGTGGACTTCAGAGCGTCGTTGTCTTCAAAGTGGTTTGCGAGGTAGTACGCCAGTCGATGGTGTTGACTAATGATGTCTGGAAAGTCTATGAAGAACCGTGAACACATGTATCTTTCCATGGATAGGACATCTGTGTCTTCAGGTGGTCGGTATCCCTCCACCAGCAATTTACAGTACTTCAGTAGTCCACCACCGCGAATTTCCTCTGGCCTTGCTGTTACAATTAAACGATTGCGGAGATGTCCAACAGCTTCTGTGAAGCCCCCGGAAACGGATTCAGCCACAACAGTTGGGTAAAAGTTCTCAGTGAGTGGCTGTCTAGAGGTCTCGTGAAAGGTTAGTAGGCTATCCAACACAATTTGGAAACTATCCACAGTAAATTCGAATTGCCTGTGCATGCGGTCTACAAATTTTAAATCGATTGTTTTACCTCCTTCCGGAGTGCGAAACCCCAAAGTAAAGAGTGACCAGGAATCGGCAGTTTTGGAGCTTTGTTTATGGATTCGAACCATTTTTTGTATGTAATGCTTTGCGTACGATTCGTCGCGTAGCAGGCTGTCCCACCCAGGACAGTTCACAGTACTTGTAGGTAGACAGGGTGAACACGTACAGCTGTAGCTCATGTCCTTTTGAGTGTTCGTGGAATGACGCAAATCATTTGAGGGCTCATGTTCGGAAGATTTCTGAATACCATTTGATATGGACTGGTCGTCCACAGGAAGATTAGCGAGTTTTGATGGTAATTCCTTTTTGTCTGTCACGTCTGTTAGGATCTGATCGTTTTCGTATTTCTTTGGCATCTGCTCACTTTTTAAAACGATTGATGTGGAAGTTGAATGATGATTGCTAATAGCACCATTTTTTGCTTGACTTAATTTGCAACCCAGTGCAGATTCCGAAAATGTCATATCCCTTGTACACTTGGAACATCCCCATCGCTGAGAGACATTGGGAAGATGAAAGCATGTGTTGTGGGTACAGCTATATGCAACCTTTCCGGAGGCAAATGTGTTGGCCAGGAATTGTGAAATGCTGGAAAACACGATGGATTTGATTTTGGTGAAAGTGTTGGTGTTGGATAAATCAACACTGAATATTAGATCCAAGTCATTGTAACTGTCCACGTCGGCATCTTCTGAAAAAGAAAAAAAACGCAAGTATTGTTCAAAGTTTTCAGTTTCAGTGAACAATAGAGTTTCACCTAATTTGGTATGACTATGGTTGTGTAATCCTTGGCACAAAAACTCACTGGCGTACAACTGTGAACATTTATGATGAACAGAATCCAGCGACTTTATGAACATTAAGTAGTTTGCATAAAGTGATGAAAATAATGATATAGTTTTCGTAAGGATACTGCGAAATAAGGTTGTTAATGCGTCAATATTCAAACTGTATTTACGTTCGCATTCACACTTTTTTAGTTTACGCTTGCTCGTTCTGACACTAGACTGACTCCTCGGTCAACTGAATTTTTAACGATGTTCCTCCGCTCCCATTTAACCCAGTCTGAGCACAGAACAAATCACTGTTGGGCTCAAGATCGTAGTGTTAAATTCACAAAAATCATTAGTTTCCTTCACGTTGCTACGTGTTTTACTGGAATTTGACCATATAGTGCATAGTGATGGTAAAATATAATACTAGAAAATATCGGTCATGTTGAACTGACCGCCGTATGCTTGTTGTTGTTTTCGTCATTTGGGTTTTACGTAGCAGTAGAAGGTGTAGGTATGTTTTGTACAAAAGCTTCTTCCATCCATCCATCCATCTGTGTGGTTAGAGCCTGCTGAGGGGCCTCACATTCACAATATGTAACAAATTTATTGAGATTCTGATATCGCAGCAGTCACCAACTTTTTGACTTTCACTCCTTTGGCTCAATCCGTTGTAAACCAGTGGGCTTCCGCCTGGTGGGCTTGCACAGAGCAAGATGTGTACTTGACCCATCACAAGGATAGGGAAGTTTTAGTCAACTAAATTCCGTAGTTAGCATTACAATTATTAGCTTGAAGTCCAAATTGGCTACTGCTCTGTTGCTAGTGGCCCAACTAGGGTTTGGTAGCAATGTGCTGTTTGAGTGATGATAGATGGGATTTCTCGTTATAATTTTACTTTAGTAGCTACTTCTTGTCTAGCAGATAAACCAAGCAGTGTCATTTTACCTTACTTGGCAAGCCAAAATTTCAGTAAAAACAGCTAACAACAGGCTTGCGAGGTCGCTTCACCTCTCGGTAAAGTAGCCCTTCGTATACAAGAAAACATTTTTGAACAAATTTCAGAAGACTGTATCTTTCTGTGGGTGAGGTAAAAGTCACCAACTAGTTTCCAGCTACTGGTTACTAAGAATTCAGTTATTTGTTTGCATTAAACAAGCTTCTGGAACGTTCTCGGGCCTGTTTAACTTTTATAAAAGTGCACAACAAGTTGCAACTTTCAACTTATACAAACTAACCAATCAGTACGTCGTTAGACTTATGTGTTGGTAGCCAAATGAATCAAGAAAAACGTTCATCTCTACTCTTACCAGAGGCCAGAACACTAAAAGACACAATGAAAACGACAGTATTGGGCAACTATCTTGCAGTACTGTCAGAAATGTTTTAGAAAAGCTAGGACTATCACCTTGTTTCACTTGGCATCGCATTCTGAATATGCTAGGGATAGTTATCTATTGACATCAATCGATATAACGGTAGTCAACGTTACAGGTGCATCGACGACGACGTAAGAAGTAAGTTTCCTCTTAGGGAGATATGCGGTGCCTTTGAAAACAAAAGAAGCACTCTTCCATCGGGATTGACCGCATCTATGCAGCACGTGGAGTTGACGTCCGGTTCAGAGATTTCGTATGGCAAGTTGTTCTTTCCGCTTGTTCTTCCGCTTTTAAAGCCTTGGTAACCAAAGTAGTTAGGTCAGGATTGTTATTGACGATTAAGGCTGCCTGGATGAATGGTTGTTAGACTAACAATTGGACACGTGGAAATGCACGAGATACAATATGCTCTGACATCCTCCGAGTTTGGAGACCATATTTATGTGTTATGAACCTATCGGTAAGGTTGTGGAGAAATTCTAAAACGATATGGTGAGCAATTCAGACAAGTGTCCTTACGGGCAAATAAAAAGACTCAGAACCTCCATATGACTTTACAGTGGGCGAGCTGGATAAAAGGGAAATTTGAAGAATGTCACAGCAAGATAAAAGAAAGTGCATTGCGTTCATGACTTCATGCTGACTGTAGCTACTCAGAGCCTTGTAATGACCTTAATGTGTTGCGCGATAGCCGCAACCTTTTTTAAAGTAAAATTCTGCGAAATATGATTGCGGCTACTGTTTAAAGTCAAATAAAATAAAACCGGCAGTGAGCTTTGGGATTAGCATTTGAATTTCTGCTTTTGAACAACAAGAGGACCGTTTGCACCTAGTCATAATACAAAAGTTTGCCGCCCAGACAGGGCAGTCGTGACCGTTTTTGTGCTCTGAATTCCTAACTAAGGCGGGTTGATGTCGCGAACACCATAATGAGACATAGTGGATTATTTTCATTACCCTAGTGAACAAATAACTGAACTATCAAGGGGAATAGAGTGATGCTTGTAACCAGTGTGTAGGTTAGTCTGCAGATGATTAATACCATCATCGGATCTTGCGTGAGGATAGGAGACCTCCATGGTGTGACTGGATTGACGCTTCAGAAATCTTGAAAATGCGTTCACCGCCTCTGCTAGTTTACCATCGTCCTTAATGCCTCCCTAAGTTTAGGAACCAAGAAATTGAAAAAAAGCTTTGTTGCGGTCAGATACATGAAATGAATCATTGGTCTGTGAAAACTTTTCGACGCAGGACCTCCTGGCCTGTAGCTTCGTCCCTTGACCACCACGTAATCTCGGGCCTTCAATGCTGCCTCCGGTTAAGATAACTAGCATATATCAAGTTGTGGTTGATCATAATGCATCGCCAATCTCTTTAAATTAACACAATAATGCCTGAGCGCCACGTGGTTTATATGCGCTGCCCACCCATTTCGACCACAAAGAGGCGAAATAAGGCGTATCAACTGTTTTCCCATTAAGGTTGCTGTTATTTCTTTGGGTACACAGTCGAAATGCGTGGGAAAATGTTTAACGGAGAGCTATTCTCCACAACAGACCATCATCAAAATGTAGCCCCTCATGGGGCTTGAGCTTCCGGGAATCAGTTAAGCCCTAATGAAAGATAATCCCTAGCCATATTAAATTTATTTTGCGAAATTGTCCAGCACGTTTAATTCATTATTAACCGATAATGAACTACACTGTACCTGCAGGAAACGACCTGTGCAGAACATACAGTCGGTCAGTAAGGGTCCTGAATGTTCTTGTGCAGCGCCATTAGACAAAATTACAACCCGCAAGAATATACGCCTTGAAAAAGGAATTTGATAGAATCGGCCGTAAATAGTTTTTGGCCTACCTATTTCGAAGCGTCTGCGGTTTCCTGTTTCATTACAAATGCAGACTAAGGGAGTTCAAGATCCCTCTCCAAATATCACCTAAATTCCATATTCTCACACAACAGTCGGATTAGGAGTCGCTTCTATCTAACGAAAAATCGAAAGCTGAATGTCATTTCAACCAATGAAGAACATGCATCTCATCCCAGCGGTTGCTAATCTCCCCTTACTTTTGGATATTTCGGTAGCAGCTGGGCTCCAGATGGCGTACCGCAGGCAAAAAGTAAATATTTGTGTATTTTTGAATGATGCAACAAATACTCTAACATAACCACACTTAATAAATCAACCACGGTCATTCATCTTTAACTTTCAACAACGAAATTCGATGGGGTATCTTAGCAGAAAATTCAGTTCATTCAATTCATCAGATATAAGCCATGTATAGATATTATGTTGGTTCCAGCTGCTATCGTTTTGACCACCGGAGAATTGAGGAGCGTGGAGCATATAGCCAAGCGTTCGGGGCGATGACACAATCGATTAGCTCGGGAAAACTGGCCAGCTAGGCATTGGAGGCGATAGATTTGATGCACGATCGCCACTGACTGCCTGACTAAGCCATGTCTGCCAGTGTCAACCATTGCTAAGTTGAATTCCGAGTTTCCCAGCTACAGAGGTAACAACTGTCGATCCAGCTCAGGTTACCGGGCAATGTGTTCATACTTCGTTGGCAGGCCATACACCGTTCATTTCTCTGTTGTTTCCACCCAGCACCAGGTTGGGCTGAACAAACCCCGCCAGGCGGACCGTCTTCTGGGATGCTGATAACATGTCTTCAATAGCGCAACTCACAAAGCGCGAGTAATTCGGTCATTTGGGGACTGTTTTTTCCCCAGAACCATCTGGCGTACCTCAGCATCGCTAATCCGATATTCCTAACAGACCCGAACAATGATTTGGAGACAACGGTGGTAAAACACTGGCTGGTTTCGTCCGGCCTGTGCGCGTATGGACCACGTTTCTTATCCATAAAGTAGTATGTATTGAACTGCCGCAGGGTATGCTCTACCCTTGACAGGCAAAATGTCAGTGCCATAGGTGGGGGCAAAAGCTGCACTGGCTTTCCAAATATGGGAATAATATCATCTTCAACCAACCTACTGGAACACATACAAGTATCCGGAGAAACAAGTTTATCTGCCACGTCAACTGCCCCGTCTGTAAGCATGAAGTTTAGGTTTCATGTCACCTAGTCATGTAGCGGCACTTTACAACTGGTACCTCAGACTGCACGGTAGAAGTACTTAGGTTATTTAAAACGGTTTGTATTTCGGTAGGATCCGAACCAAGGAAGATAATATTATCTACGCAGTCACTGTCTGTGTCTTGAGAGCATTTCGACTACGAGGGTTCAGAGCCAAGCATAGAAACTTCAAGAAGCACATCAGTAACGAAGCTGACAGAGAACGGTGAGAGGAGGTTGCCTTGTTCAAACTCAGTGGGCTTCACGAGTTCGCATACAATGCCTCTCAGAGGGAATAAAAATTTAGGAGAAACCTGCCTGATAACTAGACACCACCGACATTCTTTGACGGTAGAACAACAAGCAGCTTTTAGATCGAAAAAAGCGACCAGCGAGAGACATGTGAAAGTGTGGCGCTGTTCAAGGACTTATCTCAAGCTAAAGATATGGTCA